TATGACACGAAATGTAAAACTCGATTGAATTCATGGGTTCTTCCGGTTGTCGACCAAATAGTTGTGGTTTAAGAGTAAGAATATTCTGTAGACTGTCTGAACCCAACTCCAAAAGAATATAATATGTCTCGCTATCGACCCACGATTCTATACATTTGACCACATATTGTGAGTTAACTTTCAGTGTATTATCAAATTCTGTGATCAATTTAGTCATTGTTTTAATGACTTCCTTTGAATCCGACTCATCCTTTTGGACTGAAATCAATATCAGTTTAAAAATTATATTTAATACAAAAAACTTTAAATACATTACAATTTAAAGGAATTAATTTGACGGCATATTCCTGACCATCAGATTTATGCTTTACTTTCCACACCTCACCAAAGGATCCCTTTCCTATGGGACATAACGTATCAAATTTGTCCATCCAATCAGTGAATGCATTATTTGATGGATTAATCTCTATTCAATTAAAATAAATAAATATAATTTAATTCATATAATTCTTAAACAGGTATAAAATTATTATACCTTTTTTTAAAAACTCTTTTTTTAATTTTGTAAAACAATTTGTCCAAAAATTCTACACATTTTGTGTCAAATTCATTTGAATTGCAATTATATTCCTTATAATCGCTTAAATGAATCGATTTATGAGTCAATTGGTGTTCGTCTGTATAGTAATCAAAGAAATTGTCATAAATTGTTTCTATGATAGTCTTTCCCGATATTTCATATATCTTTCCATTCATAAGAGCCGTTACATTATCCGAAAAAACATTAATTTGAAACTTTAAACATTGACACATTTCTTGGAATATGTGGTCATTTATTAATTGCGGTGACTTTCCTATTAACTTATCTCCACTTTCATTGGCATATTGTCCGCAAAAATATATGAATCCATCGTTTGATAGGAAATATGTGTTCACTTCTGTCGCACATATAGTCTTAATATCATTGATATTCTCAACAAATTGTGGTTTCGATACATTTGCCGATGAATTTAAGTCTTGATTTTTCCCCCATTTAAACACATGTCCGTCACATGTAATTGCGAAGGATTTTAAGCCGTGACAACAAATACTTATTATTTTACACTCATTAGAGTCATGAATGAAATGTAATCTTTGTCCTTTTAATATGAGAATGGATTGGCAATCAGTACCTACCTGTCCGTACCGATTGTCACCCAATCCATATACATCGCCATCGATGGTTAAGATTAAAAGATGGTATAGACCGCAACTGATTTGACGGATATTGCGATTATTGAATACAAAATCATTTTCAAAGTTAATGTAATCCAATGAAAATATATTAATAGGTTTGTGACAGTTAAGTAGATATTTAGTGGTCAGATTGTATATTAGTGGCAAAGATTTACTGCCAATCATATGGTACCAGAAGTATATACAATCCCTATCATTGAAAGCGAGCCCATACTGATCCTTACAGAATAATTGATGTATATTCTGGTGACACAACTCTGGGATCAATTGGGGTTCGCTTACGTATTTGTTGTCTCCCAACCCGAGTGGTCCCCAATAATTAGATCCCAAACCGTAGACCTTATTATCATTTGTCACGAATAGGACATTATATCCTCTCTTGTCGTTGAAGACATGAAATAATTTAACGGTTTTTATGATATTTTTATCGAATTTATGAGTATTTTTCTGTGAATCTTGTTTTATATTCTGTAAACCACTGGATGTCTGTCCCGTTGTCC